GATATATTTTGTTAACAATTGCTCAGCAATATTTGGCACCAAACATCGTAGTTTCGCATCACGTGAATAGTTACATCGTCGCCAGCTATGCTTGTCTACGCTTGTCCTGCCGCTCATAGGCGTAAGCATATAATTTCCAAAATTATGTAAAATGTTATCAGTAATAATGATTTTGTATATTTTATGTCAGCCATGTAATTAAAGTAATACAAATTGTAACGGCGCAATAAAATGCCTTTAAAACCGCTCAAAAACTCTGTTGATCTTATTTCCCCGTACTGTACGCCTCTGGCACATAAGTCGGCGTTCCGAATGACTTGGTTATTCTTTAAAATACAAATTTTAGTTAAAAAAAACCGCTTGCTTGCATACCAAAAAGGCACACGGGAAACCAATTTTTAACAGCTCATACCGGTCTAATGAGGGTTATTATTCTGCTAGTCTGGAATGATAGCAGGCGTTGTCCATGACAATGACGGAACCTTTAGGAATTGAGGTTATCATTTCAGAAAAGTCCTATCTTGCCAGAATTTATTTAATGTATGCGTCCTTCGTTAACCCACGTTCCGTCTAAGTAATAAATGTTTTTTTTTCTCTTCTGTATTTTCTGATATCTCAGGTACCTATTATTGTCTCCTCCAACAGATTATGTCTTCTTTGTCAATCAAAACCAATATTCTGCTCTGCTTCTCCCAACAAAAGTTTAACTCGTGTTAATATTTTCCACAACTTTTTTCGCCCTATTTCTGGTTTATTCTCGTTCGCCCTTATTACCACTAATAGTTTATCTATTGTTGAAATCTCCCTATTTGAATTAAACGAACGTACTTTCCTTCGTAGGTATTTATACTTCTTGCCTAGTTCATCAACTTCTAAGGGTTTTCTTCCGGGCAATTTTTTAGGCAACTTCACACAGCTATGACTTTTTCTTTCGCTTAGAAGTCTATAGATTATTGATCCCTGTCATATTGACACATGTGGAGACTATACATCGGATAGTACTTAAATGCATCTGGATGCACAAGTGCATCATGTACATTCAATACTATAATCCTGGCTGTGTAATCAAGAACTCCCTCACATTTCCAGCAATCGTTTTAATAATACTTTATTCGGTCCTAAATGCGTGTAACCTAAGTTTGCACCATTCCAAGAAGTGACCGTAACTCTTGATAGCCAAAAAACCGCTAAATTTTTGCACTCTAATTTTTTTGCTTGTAGCTAGGAAAACTATTCGTCGGACGGAAAATGTCGTTCTTTTCAATATGAGAAAGAATTAAATTTTGCGTCGAATGATTGATAGCCAAAATCAATATAACTAGTAACTAGTTAAAAACGGGGAAAGTTTTCCATTTCGGTGCAACTACATTTTGCTGCTTTCTAAGACAAAACAGATATTCTTTATATTAAAAAAAAACCCATGAAATAAAAGTTGTAGGGAAAAAAATTTCACATTATTGTTACCTCAGGTTTTAAATTTAGTCATTTTGAAATAGGTACCAAACTTTAAGTGTTTTTGTTATTTTATTGCACCTAAACTATTAAGAACTATGATTAATTTCCGTCTTAATAAATTAATATTAATAATACTTATTAAAGATTTGATGGCAATACACAACTTTTTCGAAAATTATTTTTATTTGGACTGCTCGAAACTCTACTCAGATTGTGTATATTACTCTAACCACAAAATAGACACCTATACAAGGTGTCTCATACATAAGTCACGGTCCAAACTGAAAGGGGTGATAGAGGAGATCATGGCCGACAAAAAAAAATCTTAGGTATATGTTACTATACAATTCTTCACGGTTTTCAAGATATTCGAATTTTATTGATTTTAACAAACATGGTTACATTGGTTGAAACCAACGAACCCATGATTGATTTTCTTTTTCTAATTATGAGCAGGAATAAGCTTTTATAAGTATGTGAGGTTTTGTCTTTTTGCTTAAGAACTTGAAGGGAGTTTTTCTCTCTTATTTTTGTTTCATTCAATTTACAGCAAAAGTTCAACTGATAATAATTTAGAAAGCAAAGATGAAAAAAGGTGACCCATATGTGTTAAAACTACCCTGATTTATCCTTATTCGATTAAGGCCACATTGGTCTGAAAATCTCTAATATTTTTTTTTCTTCTCTACTTGCAAATTTCCTTTCTTTACCAATGTAACCATGTTCACTAAAATCAATAAATTCGAATATCTTGAAAACCGTGAAGAATTGTATAGTAACATAATATAGGGTTTTTTCTGTTGGCATCGGCAATGACCTCCTCTATCACCCCTTTCAGTTTGGACCGTGACTTATGGGACGCCCTGTATATTCTGTGCTTTTATTGCAATGCAATAAAAAGTGCTATTGATTTTGGCTAAACCACAGGACCGAATTGAAAGTTTTGAATGCCATTCGTCGCCAAATTTAGTCCTTTTTGATATTGAATCGAATGACATTTTCCGGCCGACGTATCGTCTTCAGGCTACAAGCAAAAATCTGAAGAAGTGCAGAAATTTGGCAGTTTTTTAGCTACCAAAAGTTTTGCCCACCTCCTGGAATGGTGCAGACTCACATCACACGCCTTTAAGCCTTTGAGGGTATAAAAACGATTTGCAGCTTGCTGGAAATAAATTCCTTGAAACGGTTTTTTTCGATTTAATTTTATGGGCCTATATGAAAGGAAACAGAGTAAAGATACTTTTATAAAGTGGATACTTTCGTTATCGGATTTTATGTGCAATATGCTGTCATCGATGTATTATTCATCCTCGTGTCTAAATTTTTTTCTCTATGAGTAAGCCTATTTCGAAATGTCCTCGTTTAATCATCAATTATTTTTCCTTCCTTTGCGATCTCCAATGGAAACATTTTTCCTCCGATATGCTTAAACACTTTATTTTTGTTATCAAGTTGTCTTCTGACTAATAACTTTTTTATCATTACCTACTAACGATAGTACTTTTGTGGTTAAGCGGATAATCGCTGTAATTTTAATTTGATAGATAAATAACTACCTATATATTCACCATATGGTGAATATATAGGTATAGGTATTCAGGTCTAAGTATAAATATTTAGACTTAGTGATAAGTTTTGCATTAATCAGAAATGGTTTTCTAAAATGGCATTCAATAATGATTCACACATTTATCAATAGGTAAAGCAGAAACTAAAGAGGATGACAATAATAATTATTATATTATTGTATAGTTCGACAAGGCGAATTAAAACGATCATCAATTCGCATCTATGTGTGCTACCCGAATCCGAATAAATTTTGTTTTGCTTCCTAAATACGGCCCATGATATAATTGATCTGCTGAACAATTCCTGTGTTTGGTTCCAGGAGGGCGATGAAAAGTTTTGCAGAGATTGCCACTTTATCGAAATCTTTTTTTTTATTCTGGACTTTTCTGTCCTTGCTTTTTAGATCTCAAGAAACATTCGAAGAAAAAGTCTCTAAACAAATGAGGGAAAGGGTAAAAAATTTATCTAAAAAAATTTGCATATAAAATCAGCTGCGCTCATCAGAGCATGAAAATCATCCTTATTAGGTACCCATAATAAACTTAAGATATCCTTGTATTCAAACAAAAAAAATAATCTAATTTGTTTAACACTCACCTAACTTTAATATACAGGGTGTCCCATTTTGGTTGTACATAAGGGATAACCCCGTTACTATCGGAATTAGAAGGATGCGGTTTTCGCGAACGTTGGCTACTTTTTCGTCAAACGAAAGATGCCTTCAACAGAATTGTCATCACCCTTTTTATTCTTCAGATACAAGGTGTGAAAATGTTGTACTTTGGAACACCTCTTCGTAACACATTATTTCTTATGACAAACACAATTTTTTTTCTTGAATTTGTTATGCCGGTTTTCCACCAAACAGACAAAACAAAAACAAAACCCAAACTCAAACTTTTCCCAAACATTTTCAAGACTGAGCGTGTTTTGAGACAGTTGGAGTTCTGTTTCCCCGAGAAAACAAAATGTAGTTCCGTTGATGGAAACAAGAGTTTTGTGTTTATTTTTGTTTTGTTTTGAAACATAGACAAAACACAAACTCAACAGTCCGTTTAGTGGAAAACCGGCATTTAGAGATAAACCTATCGAACTTCATATCATTGAAATCAGTAATAGCAGAGCTATCCAATCTTATTAATATAACATGGTTTCTCATTTGAAAAAATGTATGTTGTTTTTAATTCAAACACTATCACTTCTAGAGAAAAACTGACTATGCCACTGGAATCTACGTAGAAAGATCTATAATGCCGGTTTTCCACCAAACGGACAGAACAAAAAAAAAACCAAACCAAATTTTACCCCAAACTCGTGTCGAATAAAATAAAACTCAAAGGGTTTCGACGTGTTTTGAAACTCGAGCACAGATTTGAGTCTGTTCAGTGAGTTTTTTATTTGAAATTGGTCTTGTGTTTTGTCTGTTTTTTTTTTTTTTCATTTTCGACTTGATTTCATTTTTATAGTCTGTATCTGAATGGTTGGACGACAAACAACCAGTGGAACAGGACCGAGAAAACAAAACGTAGTCTGCTTGATGGAATCAAGAGTTTTGTGCTTGTTTCAGTTTTGTTTTGAAACATAAACAAAACACAAACTCAGCAGTCCGTTTAGTGGAAAACCGGCATATGAACCCGATGTCATGTTTCTGATCACTGATACGCAAGGGGTGTCCCAAAACGTACCATTTTCAAAAACACCTTGTACCTGAAAAACAAAAAGGGCGATGACAATAAATTCTGTTGAGGGCATCTTTCGTTTGGCAAAGAGTAGCCAAACTTCGCAGAAACCGCATGCTTGTAACTCCAGCAACCGAGTTATGCCTTAAGTATGTACAACCAAAATGGGACACCCTGTACATATATTGTACTGTATTTTCTCACTAATTCTCGATTTTTTATTTTTATTTTATCGGATGAGTATTTCCAATTATTTCTACTTACTTGGGTATCTATTTTTGTATTTTATTTTTACAGACATTCTCAGATGTAGAAATCGGAAGCAGCGATAAAGCTGATTTTGAAAGGGCAATTGAACTTACCGGATATGGAAAATTCCATTATCTACTATTAGCAATATGTGGATTCGTCAGCACTTCGGAGGAGATGGACGTCATTTCGATGTCGTTCATTCTCCCTTCCGCGCAGTGCGATTTGAACCTCAACACCCAGACCAAAGGATGGCTGAACTCCATCATTTTTATAGGTAAGAAGTCTATAATATTCTTATCATCAACCTACTAGAAATAGTTGTATTTTTTGTTGTTTTAACTCATATAAATAGCCAAACACTGAAAAGCTGCAAAGTTATATAGGTACACTATATAAAATACTGTTTAATTTTAAGATCATAAAATATTTTCGCCCTATGGTAATTTTATTATTATTTTTTATCCAGGAATGATGGCAGGTGCCTACGCTTGGGGATCATTGGCAGACTTCGTTGGTCGTAAAAAGGTTCTAATTATCAGCAGTTTCATGAACGCTCTATGCATCGTGGCTTCAAGCTTTAGCCAGTCATATGAGTTATTCATGCTTTTCAGATTTTTAAACGGGGCGGCGTAAGTACAAATTTTCTATATAAATAGAGAGGTACCTACCCATTTAATAAACAATAATATTTATTTAATTGAAACTGAAAAAATTTCAAGTTAATTATTGTATTTTATTTATTCAGTAACTCTACAGTATATTCAATTTTAAGAGTACCTAGCATAGGTAAATGACTAATTTCCTGAGAATAATTACTAAAATCTAAGATATTTTCTTGGAAAGTTTTTATTATAATTATCCCGGCTTTGAATGATTCTGGTGAATCTAAGTTAGAAAACCGATCATTCTCAAAATTTTTGCAAAAAAAAAATATTGACAGCAAGTCTCTGCTCAAAACTTGTGAAATTCTAGATGTAGGTTCTACATTCATTAGGTAGGTAGGTACCTCTATTCTTTGTTATAGGTTTATTTTTTTTCAAAAATAAAAATTCAAATAGACAAAATGTGCAACTTTTACCCAAACAGTAAGAAATGTGGAACCAACATCTGAAATTTCACAAATGAAGCCGTTCCGCCGTAATTCAATTTCTTATTTTTCAAAAGTGGGTTATTACTCTTGAATATTAAACTTTTTTGTTTCAGACTTGGGGGTAGCGGTCCAGTAATATGGCCGTATTTCGCAGAATTTCAGCCAAAAGCCAAAAGAGGATCCATGTTAAGTTTCATGGCAGCATTTTGGACTCTTGGTAACCTATTTGTAGCCGGTCTAGCATGGTTGATAATACCAGCTGAGATCGAAGCATCTTCAAAATACTTTGTTTTCAACTCGTGGAGGATTTTTCTTGTTGTGATGGCTCTACCATCGTTCGTCGTAGCCATTTTATTATGCTTTTTGCCAGAAAGTCCTAAATTCCTTTTGACAAAGGGAAAAATTGACGAAGCTATTGCTATCTTCAAACACATTTATCACGTGAACACTGGTAATGATGCTGAAAGTTATCCAGTTAAACATCTGATTTTGGAAGAAGAATATCAAAGGGCATTAGACGAAGAATCTTTACAAAAAAAGAAAGGCAAAGTTATTAATATGTTGTTCAATATTATCGATAATACTAAACAACTTTTTGTTTCACCTATTCTCAAGTTCACAATGATTTCCATTATGATCAACTTTACATTTCATATTGGGTAAGCATTTCCTACATTTTTATCATTTACTTAAAGACTGTTTCATTTATTATCCAAAAAATTTTGAAACAATTTCTCCAATAAATTTGGATATAAAAGTGATCAACCTCAATATCAATTCTTAAATAGAAATGCCTGTGTTGCCTATTTAGGAATTAAAATTTCATACACTCTTTCTAGGTATTACGGACTCATGATGTGGTTTCCAGAGTTGTTCAACAGATTTGACGAATTCAGCCGTTTAAGACCAAATGAAACAGCTACAGTTTGTCAAGTAACAGACTTTGTAGTTAATATAGGAAGCCAGCAACAAGGTGCTATATGTAATGAAAAAATAAGTCAGTCTGTTTTTATGGATTCATTAATTACTGTAGCAGCCGCTTTGCCTAGCAATGTTATTGCTATTTGGGGAATGGACAAACTGGGAAGAAAATTCTTCTTAGGTAAATAATTAGACTATTGTATCTTCTTATCTAAAAATTTGAGACTAGTTCACTAACTCGATCAATAAGTAGGTATACTTACAACACAATGTTGCTAATGAATATCTTTTATAAAGTTTTCAGTACTCTAGCATCTGGAACCTGCGCGGCATCCATGTATTACGTCTACAACAAGACTCAAAACTTAATTGTTTCTGCCACATTCAGCAGTGTCATTTCTTGTGGTAATGCTGCTTTGGATTGCTTAATCACAGAAATTTTTCCGACCAATCTCAGGTGAGCATCATTTTATAACAAGTTTAAAGTTTCGTTTTTTTAAGATGCGGAACTTATTTGTTAAATAAGTTGTTTGAATTTCCAATATCTTTCAGATTATATACAATTTTTGTTAAAATTTTAGATTTTTTTTTATATTAAATAAAGTTTTTGCACGTGGACTTATTTGATTTCCGATATTATACTCCTGGAAAAAATTATCGCACCACTGCTTATCGTGGTGCTTATGTGCAGTGGTGCCATAATTTTGTCCAGGAGTACCTATATTTAGAATGATAGGCCTATTCGGGTTTGGAAAAAGGACGGTTCTAGAACGGTCAAAACAATCGGACAGTTTATCAATCAACAAAATGACAACGACTCCGCTATCACAAATTCCAATAATAAATTGTGCGATTGTTTTGAACCGTTCTAGAACCGTCCTCTTTCCAAACTCGAATGGGCCCATTATGTTTCTTTTTTTTTGAGTTTTCGAAAATGGTATTTGAAAAATTCGTTTATTTTTTTAAGTTCATTATCATTTTGACATACTAATTTTGTATATATTTTTTTTAATTTAGGGCAACTGGAATTGCTATATCAATGGTAGCAGCTCGTTTAGGTGGAATAATAGGCAACATCGTAATAGCTACATTGCTAGACATGTACTGTCCAGCACCAACATTTATAGTAGCCGCACTACTGATTTGTGGAGGTCTGCTTTGTCTCCTGTTGCCAAATACTACTCGAGAACCACTGCATTGAAACATTTAATTTTCAAATCCTTAACTTTAAAATATGCTTTTATTGGTTCGAATTTATTTTTTTTTGTAATCACCTAAGTATTACAGTATTTTCAATATTATTATTTAGATTAAGTTTGTTATTGTTCTTAAAATTTATGAATGACGTTGATCAGGGAAGTGTTATTTGCCAGATATTTTTTGAATAATGTTCTGGAAGTAGATAGGCACTGTAGATTACTAATATTTTGAGGACCAAAAATATATTTTAGTTTCATGAAAGTTTTGAGTTTTATTTAGATAAAAATCTTCCATAAACATATACCCGTGCGACGTCACTGCCAGATGTTCATCAGAGCGGCTTTCCAGTGCCTTATAATAATTATCAGGTTTTTTTTTTATTACTTTTCACAATGTTTGGAGAAATGCAATGAAAATACCTATGTGAATTGTATAAGTTTAGGGCCCGGTTGTACATTGTAAATGCCAACTCAGCTCAAGTTGAATTCTTCTATTGGTAGGTAGGTATAGGTACCTACATGAACTTCCTCAATTAGGGCGGGTATTATAAAACTGCTTTGACAGTTAACTTGAAGTTAACTTTTTGAATTACATGTAATTCCAGAAGTTAACTCTCAAAGTAGTTTTATAATACCCGCCCTTAGGGTGGGTATTATAAAACTACTTTGAGAGTTAACTTAAAGTTAACTTCTGAAAATACATGTAATTCAAAAAGTTAACTGTCAAAGCAGTTTTATAATACCCGCCCTTAATAATATGTGTTTGCTGTCAAAAACTTTACACTTATTAACTTAAGAATATTTCTGACATCAATCAGCAATGCATTTTAAATAGGAAGTGGAAGTAGAGTAGCAGTAGATTTGTTCGACAGGGATGTTCCAAACTGCACAATTGTGCATATTGATGCACACTTTCAATTTATAGTTGTATTCCTTTCAAGAGTTTGAAACACTCGAGCAGCTCGCTCCGTTGTTTCGACGCCCCCGATTTGCAGGGAACAAATGCGTGGTGCAACAAACACTTTTCGAAAGGAATAAGCGCGTGAAGCCCCGGAGCTGTTCCGGAGCTCCTCCTAGGTGTGAAAGGAATACAACTTATATGCACAGTGCCACAGCAGTGCACCCCAATCTCTAGATATGCACATTTTGATTTCTAGAATAAATCTATCACAATTTCTCAGTCAATAAATACCTAAAACACAAAATATTCTGAATTTGGGGTTTCATTTCGGTAAATTTATAATGGTAACTCCCATACACTACACTCAGTACACTCTACTAACCTATAAGCCACCAAGGATGATACACACTACTACTACAGGATGGTAACGGATGCCGGATGACCTATCCTCATAAAGGAGCGCGCCCACTGGGCCCGTTCAGCCCGGCACAGCACGGCCAGCGCGGCCGGCATTTCCGCAGCCACCGCCCATTGCTTCGGCATGATCAGACCCAAATAGCGTTTAAAACATCTTTGACTATCGAAGTGGTAGGTTCGCGAATAAAAAAGAAACTTCTCTCGAAGCATTTTTTTATGAGCGGTATCGTGGTAATATTTTTCCTTGGATTCATACAACAATACATATGCTCAAAAGCTTTCAATCAAAATTTCATCGGACATGATGCCACAAATAAAATGAAACAAAACAATCCAATGCTTTTATGGTCGCAGACACGCGGACCGACCAGCAGTTTTTGCCCTATCGAGAATACAGTCGTCGCCGGGCTGAGCGTGCGGTGCCGAGCTGAGCGGTTCTGATTCAGTGGGCGCTACTCTATTCGTTTACGAACATATCAAAATCTGCCGGCCGCGCTGGCCGTGCTGTGCCGGGCTGTGCGGGCCCAGTGGACGCGCTCCTTAGGCCTGTGTGGAACAAATCCCCCCACTCCACCCCAAGCCAAATCAGCAGTTGTGACGTAGGCAGCATGTTATTTCTCGCCTTGACGTAGGCTGTTTAAACAGCTGACGACTTAATTATGACGTCGGAAATGGTGACACGCCAATATGGCGGCGATTACCAAAAACGAGGCCGATAACTCCGATAAGCAATCCTGTAGGTGTGTATTATCCTTGGTACGCTGGCTTATAAATATATTTGTAAGAGGATAATATTCTATCATCTAGCATCCAAGCCTTAGATTACCGAAGCGTTCCACACATAAACCGCATTTTCACGAACCAGACTGTTACCATAGACAAACCGCTTCTTACCGATCGGTAACCATTCGGTAACTCTGGTTAAGATACGGAACGCGCCTAAAAAACTGACAAGGGTGACAGGAGTGAAAATTACCTAGCGGCAGGTTATTTAAAGAAAGGCTGAGCTCGGCTTTACACTCTGTAAACTCTGACCGCGCTCGAAACGATAAGATCCACGTTTTAGCACTCAGAGTGTTCTCTTTTGTGTCCGGGTTACAATCGAGCACGTAGCCTGAGCTCGCTCTTTGTTCCCTGGATGGATGGAGAACAGAGAAATTAGTTATCAACTGTCATTTTTGAAAAATTTTAACCCAAAATATTGACAAAAAAAATTATATCGGTTCGCGTTTCCGGTTTTTTTCCCCAGATTTCTCTTCTACTTTTATTTCAGGTCCATTACTAATTTACCTACTTGTTTACTAGTGAAATAAAATTAAAATCAAAACAAAACTATTTTTTTTTTTGAGAATAGTGACAACTGTGACAAGGGTTTCTGGATTCGGCTTATGACCTTGTTCAGAGCGCACTCTGCGTACGCCGTCACGATATCCATGCTCACACCGTTCCGCTCCGTGGAGTGCAAAACCGAACTCGGACAAAGAGTTCACATTTTTGAACTAGCGTGAAAGTCAACCGGGAGTTTATACCAATTCATTTTCGAATGGCTGGTAAGCACTTGGTGTGATGAACGTATTGGGCGGTAAATTAGCAACGTCAAACCCGGTAAAAACCGCGGGGCGCTTTTCCTCCCAGTCCCTGAGTGGGGTAATTTGGACGCACTCTGGGCACGTCAACTCTCGTTTTCTGAACGATTCCAGCGTAAAGCTCCGAGTAAGCACCTGTTAATTTATGAACGGTTTAGAGTTACTTTAGGGTCACTCTCACATCCAGAGTGCTATTTCTAAACGCAACCCTGTAAATTCAAACTCAAACGCGCCTGTCGCAAGTCAGCACAGCCACTGCCACAGACTGGAAAGTTTACAGCTTGCAAGAAATTTTATCCCAATCGGCACGTGAGCACTGACCGAATTCCTTAGAGCAGGTAAAGCGCTGTCCTACGGACATAAGGAGTAGGAACGAGCCATTCTGTTATGAAACTAAAGTGAAGCCACAGGTAAAGCATTGGATTGCCTATACCGCCATTTATTTGGTGCCAAAATACCTGGAAAAAAACGGCTTCATTTTCCAACTCCATGTTACTACTCCTTTACCTCTACCTGCTCTAAGCCGAATTCAATTGAAAACGCTAACCATGAAATCCCTGCTCGAGCAGACGCGTGCCGAAGTGACACTAGTAAGGTCATAAATGTCATAAGTCATTTGAGGAAAATAAAAATAGAAGAAATGAAATGGGAAATGCGCCAGTCAGTGCATTGGTCAGTGCCACAGCCTCCTACACTTAACAAGCCATGAAGTTAAAAAGGCAACACCGCAATCTTACCGCCAAGTGGTGCTGGTGCTGTTTGTTTTTATAAGTATATATTTTTTATTTTGTTAATAATAATCACAAAAAATGCATCATTTATTATACTAAAGGATCAAAAACAGAAATTCAATGAATAATATAACTATATGTGTAAATAAGAACAGTAAATAATTGATTTAAATGAATATATTTCTAGATTCTAAAGTGTTATAAGCCTATGTTTCAGTATGTCTTTTGAAAATCTAACTTTTTCTTTCTTCGGGATTTTTTCAGAAGGCAGGTTTATTCAAATACTTGAGCTGATTTCCGAAAATAAGAGGTACTTTTAAGAGTTGGACGTTTTAGTTTGAACTCTCGAATTACTCCTTTATTCTTGTTTGTTTCAAATCTAATTATTTCGGTTTCTTCAAAATGTTCACAACACACCACAGAATTTTTCGTTATTGTATAATCTCGCCAATCTCGGGTACAATTATCTTGGTGTATTGCTTTCATCCACAACTTCTGCATTTCAGAATTTTTTTGGAAATAAATGATTGCATTTCTTCAGGTTTTAAGGAACTCCTAGTTCGATTTGCACCCAGGAACACAGTAGTTTCATGGCATCTGGAAAAAAGTTTAAATATCTTAGGTAATATATCGAGGCCTATGCTCTTGCACAATATCAATATTGTTTTTATTGTTTTAACCTTACATTACCTTCATTTTTGCTGCTGTACCCATTTGCTGAAAATTTGCAATCAAAGCACAAAGGAACAGGTATCAACTAAATATGGGCAATATATTGGTGTGTTTCTATCCACTTTTTCGTCAATAATGCCCACAAAAATACTAAACTGCAACAATATACAATGAACGCAATACACAGAAACAATAACCTCGATAATAAAATAGCACCATACGCGACGTTGCCGTCATTTCCAACTTCATGGCTTGTAAGTGTAGGGGGCTGTGTCAGTGCACACAAGCAAAGTTTACAGTCAAGACAAGCTTGGATAGGATATTTGATATTTTGTTTGCTGTGTTTTTAAATCTTCCAATTGGCTTCGCGTGGTTTGCCTGTCGTGTCTTATATTTTGTATCAGTGTTTCTTTGTATTTCAAAATTGTGATTTCTTCTGCCCTGTTCTCCAAAAAGTAAGTAGGTACTGAATGCATGATGATTACACAAAATCTCTTTAAGCTATGCCCTTTACCCATTGAAACTCTGTTGCTTGCTAATAATTTATTTCTTGTAGAAAGAATTCGAGAAGGAACTGTGCTTTTACATACAATATTTATTTCATACCCATGTTGATACCTGGCCAAAATGGGAAATCGTTAAACTACTATTAAATTTGCCATTGTTGTGATTTTAATGTGCATTTTGGCACTGAAACCCGAGAATTCTCTGATCTTTGTTCCATTCTACAGTCATGTCTTATGGTTTCTTCCAACTAATTCATAGAAAGGCCAGACATGACAACTGCCTGGATAATATTATTTTGAATTTTGACAACCGAGACTATGACTACTATGAGGGTCTAGCTCGGGGTCCAGTTATCCACACTGGTTTCTCCAAGGGTTCTCTGATCATTTGGGTCAGCTTTTGAACATTTCAGTTCCTTGCCTTGGCAATCCCCATGCAGTTGAGACTGTTGATAGGTTTGCCTGTAGACCGATTACAAGACGAGTAGAAATGCATTGTACTTATCTGTGGAAGTGATAGAGTGAAACTCTCAGTGAAACTTTATAAAGTATTCTTAAACAAATTGTAATTATTCTGCAGATGAAATATTTACCATGTTTTCAAACTTGATAAACATAGCATTCAGGGACTCATTTCCTGAAGAAGCTTTGCTCGATGCAGAGTCGTACCAGCGAGCATACAAGTGCTTGGTTTGATGAGAATTTGAGATCCTTATGGATCCTTACGAGTTTCTGAATTAAATAAAAGAAAAAGTGTCAGTTTAGATTACCGATTTGTTCGGATTATAAAAATATATGGTAAATTTAACTTAAATATGCAATAAATATACAAATAATCAAAAATAAGCTTTTTTTTTTAAAAAAAAATATAAGTATAAATAAATGTACATAATTAAAATTAACTCCGAGTCGAGCTCTGAGTTTAACTTGGGTTAGAGGGGTCATTTTTCCTTTTTTTTGTGCATACTGGCTGTTTCTCCCATTTCCGCCTTCTTTTTAATTTCTTTTAGGGCCGGTTTATTCATCTTTTGATAAATTGTCAGCTATGCATTCTGACGGATAAAAACACAAACTGTAATCCATTGGTCGGCCAGTTATTCGCCGACCAATAAAATAATAGAACGACGAATTTATCTTACAGATAGTTAACAGCAAGTTTATCTGAAGATGAATAAGCCATGCCTTAGAAGAAAAATGTTCTCAGCTGTTTCAGAATTTTGTTGTGCTCATTTTAAACAAGTTTGAAAACATTTTACTGCTTCTTCGTGAGTCTCGTTGGTCGGTACGATTTCTTCAGATTCTTCTGATCCCGCTTTGAGAACATTATTACATATTAAATTTGACGTAGCATGCATAGCGTAATGCGGTTTTCAGCAGTTGTTTGGATTATCAGGATTTGTTCGGATTAACGCATGTTCGGATTATCGAGGTTGTACTGTACTAAGAAACAGATATTACGGGGGGCGGTCAACTTCCTCAAAATGTGTACACCGATTTAAAATCACTCTTGATTTTAACTGATTTAATCGGATCTAAGAGATTTTTATTCAAACCTTAACTGATTTAAGGTGATTTAAGGTAATTTAAAGATTTATTGGATCACTTAAAAAGATTTGAGCTGATCTAGGAAGATTTAACCTGATTTAGGAAGATTTAACCTGATTTAAGAAGATTTAAATGGATTAAACATTTTTTTAAGATTTGAACCTCGATTTGAACTGATATAACCTGGGATAATTCAGGGTAATTAATTTAATCCCGAGAAGATGAAAATATATCTAATAACCAGATATTTTAGTGCTAATGGGTACTTTCGCTCTCATAATAGTCCAATTTAAATTTTGAACTAATAAAAAAAATTCTAAAAGTGATAAAGTTTGTGAGGCTTTTGCGGCCCAGGTTTATTGATAAGGTGTTTTCATTCGGGCTTAATAGCCATTGTAAGTTGGAATTTCTTCCTTTTTCTTAGGAAGAAATTCCAACTCACAACGGCCATTTAGCCCGAATGAGAACTCGTTATCAGTTCTAAAAGTGCCACCAAAGTCAACTAGTCTTGGTACACAATGCAATTAAATAATTAAAACTTGAATTTGAATTCACAAAAAATTTGAAGATTCTTCCTGAGCTGCCAACAAAAACACACATGCGCAAACCGCAAACGAATATAAGCAATTGCACCTCGAGGTTTGTCGAGTTGGAGTCGCCCAAAGTTTGCGCGGGATTTGGACCATTTTTTTATCGATTTGAAATGATTTATGGAGATTTATGAAGATTCAGGGTTGGCATAGAATTTCCCCAGGTTATAAAACCCAGTGGAGTTTTACAGGTTTTTTCAATTGATAAAACCTACCATTATTGGGTTTTTTGGGTTTCTTCAAAAATAGCAAATTTTCAGTTGAATGAAAGTCATTTTCGCAGGAAATATCAGGGATTCCCCGATGATTCTCCAGTCCCCGGCTGTTTGCTGTTGGCATTTGGTGTAGAGGTCTGGGCAGGGACTCAGTGCCATGTAGAATTTAGAATTCAACATATCGAATGTGCCAAGTCTATAGAATCCTGTGGATATGTAGAATTCTACATGACACGGAGTCTCTGGGCTGGCTAGCCAGAGGTGTGGTGCACTGATGCCAAGTGTAATTATCTATATCAAGTGGCTTGTTTTATTTTGTAAGGATATTTTATTTTTGTAACAAAACTCATAATTTTTGTAATACTTTTGCTAGAGTAGAAACCGAGGCAGTAACTTTAAATCAAATTTGAAGAAAAAAACGAAAACACCCGAAAAGCACCAAAAGATCCAAAAAACCCATAAAAACCTAAAAAAAAACACATAGAAACCCAAAAAAACCCGACGGGTTGGACTTTTTCAGAAAAACCCAGGTTTTTTCCAACCCTGTGAAGATTTATGAAGATTTAAAAGGATTTAAAAAGATTTAACGACATATAAAAAGATTTAACGAGATATAGAAAGATTTAAAGGGATTTAAACAGATTTAACTAGATTTAAAAAGATTTACAGGGATTGTAAGAGATTTAAGAAAATTTAAATTGATCTGACCTGATTTAACGTGATTTGATATGATTTATGAAAAAACTAAGGTGATTTAAGGAAATTTATTTAGGGATTTAAAGTGTTCCGGATCTCAGATTTTTAGGGATTTGATTGATTTAAAAAGATTTGAGAGGGATTTAAAGAGATTTGAAGGGATTTAAAGAGATTTGAAGGGATTTAAAGAGATTTGAAGGGATTTAACCTCATTTAATCTGATTTAGAGCAAAACAAGATGATTTATGTAATTTAATAAGGGATTTAAAGTGATTTAAGTCCATTTCATTTGTACACCGATTTAACAGAGTTACCGCCTCCCGAGATATTATTTAAAGAAGAAAATAATTTTATATTTTTGTTAATTCAATTATAGTCTTGTTTATAGTAGAGCTAGGTTGATCCTACTTGAGCAAAAAGATGACAACTCCATGTGACCAGTTTTGTAACTTCAAATGGAAGATCATGTAAGCTTCTGCCAACAATGTCATCTCTTAGCTCACGGGAGATAAACCGAACTCGCCTAGTGTTTGACCATTTTTTATTTTGCAAAACGACATTAAATTAAATTTGATAAAATAATGAAGCTGAGCAATTTACCTTTCTTTTTTTAATCGCTAGCGGAACTATTATTTTGCTCTGCAAGGGGTACCGGATGTTCGTTTTTCTCTTTTTGTTTACATGGTTCACCACCTATTCAAAAATATGAGGAACTGCATGGTAACTTTTTTTTTGCATGAGTAACTTTGCTAACAGGTCTTCAATAAAAAACTAAATCAAAAGTTTCGTGAGTTTTCCAGAGTAGATTGTTACAATTTTAGAAACCACACATTGCCTTTCCCAATTCCAAAATAACAGTTAACAAAACACTCCATAATTTATGAAGAAATAAAAAAAATTTGATCATCTGCAAAACACTCGGCCAAGCAACATAAAATCCATAACAGAATATAGGGTTTTTTGAATTAGTGTAAAACCTGGTAAGGCATTTCACAGCATTCACGGTGTGATTTTGTTTCTTAATTATATATTTTTTGTATGTTTATACTTTTACTTGAGTATTTGCTTTGTCAATAATTATACATTGTAATTTTCGACAATAAAGCCTTATTGAAATTGAGAGAGTACTTTGATTATGAAAACATACGTCACATTATTGTTTCTGTACTAGAGTCTAGCCATCACATGTGGAGCAACTACGATTGTAGCCGAAAGCCGAGCCGAACGCATTGAATTCGAAGAAAGGTGTATATTCGGTAATGTAATACACTGCTAAAAAAAAAAGTTATTTATTAGGAGCCCGTTAAATTGGAAATCAAGAGGAACACAACAACAAATTTGCAAAATTAATGCGGTATTTTCTTCTCTTTCAGGACGCTGAAGATTAGATGCGGATTCTTGCATTTTTTTTTTGTTGAAATAAATTTTCTCTGTGGAGTAATTGGTACTTTTTTTCGCTTATTTGTAAGTGAGCAGAGTAGTTCATTTTGTTTTCGTTTTAAAGTGGTCAATACTGGGTTTATAGGCAATAATGCCTGTTCTACCACATTTATTAATGTTTATTGAGATTGAATCGAATTTCTTATGCAGACTTTTTCTGGATCATCTGAAATATTTGAACGCGATACGCTATTACGCCGGCTGATACCTCTCCTCTGCCCTCTCTAGAAATATTAAAGAATAGGATAAAAATAAACTAAAAAAAGGACTTTACTTTTGTTTGTTTTTTTCTATACTACTATCCTAAATCCAAACTACAAACAATGTTACATTTTTACAAATAATTATTATCTTGTAAAATGGAATGGAAATTTTGTTTTGATAAAAATAAGAATGGTTAAAGAAACGATAAAAATAACAATTAAATTCTTGTTCTCGATTTTTTCAGGAGCGAGAGTGAAGAGTTTTGATGATATGCCATCTACTTGCTTTACTTCACATTGTAGTGGGATTTTATTGGTTGTGGTACCTATATCCTTCACTTTCAAATGTGTTGACTGTTGATTCATTTTCATATAATATTTCTTCTATAATTTGTATGGATCTGGTAGTCAGTATTTGCTTTTTCTAGGGCCTATTGAACAAAATAAAGGCCTACCGCCTACCTGAAAACTGCTATCTTTCTGTTCAAATATTTGGTTTATTTTTTGCTGAGAGAGTCATGAGAAGAGCCTTCTATTTGACTTATCTTTTTTTTTTATAGAAGACAATAATAGCACAACTGTGGAAGATGTCATCCAACAGCCAGGAAATGCCAGGCTGTAGCACTGAAGAGGACTCTGCTCCAAAAGACGCGCCATTTGATCCTTCCATTGATGAGCTTATTCATGATCATGATGATGAGAGAACACTGGATGAAGAAGAGGCTTTGGCTGCTGATGAAGGTGAATCCACTAACCATGAAGCTGAATTATTGAATCTGGAAAAGGTAAATTAGTGATATACTCGGTGATATACTTATTATAAATTAATAGCATTGTAAAGTAAGTGGATTTAGTATCGCCTAGGTGGAAAAATTTGATACTCAATGGTGGAGAAGTTTACTGATTGCCCCAGGTTTTTTTTTGGTGGTGATCAAGATTTGAATATACTGGTCAACAAAATCGCTTTTGCACTGACATTTTTGATTTTTTTATATAGGTATGTGTCTAAGTCTGACAACTTCCCGCTTTTACAAAAGCGACCACTGCTTTTTCATTTAATATGATAACCCTGTATGTAACTGTATTTTTCTGCATTTTCAGAATATTTATGTCATTCTGTTTATGAAAATTTCAAATTTGAAGTAATGCAATATTTATATTTGAATGGAATCTTCTACTACATTAGTCTACCAAATGCTTGGGAGTTGGCAAAATCGCAGTTTAATGTGTTAAGGACGCATTTCATGTGATAACGATGTATTTCTAAAAACATCGTTTATTTAGGCTAAAAAATTAATACAAAGCCTCCTTCACTGAATACATTAGGTATGCATTTGCATAAGTACAGTAGAAAAAATTGGAATTTGTAAACCCTGCTGAGAACATATGTCCTGTTTGCAGGCCTAGCCCATGAAATACATTAATTTGAAATTAACAATTTAAGCTAGCTCAAAAATATCTTCAAACTCTAGTATTGAGGAAGGCAAGAAGAGTTGACAGGAAATCACTTAATTTGTCAATGTTATGAGTTTTCTCCTGTCGATTAAGATTCCTATGCCACCAAAATTTAAATTGAGCCCTTTATTGTTTGGTAAACATATGCACGGACCTAAGAGTTGAGTACTTTTCCTTGGGAAGTCTTGTTAAGCTCAAACCTAGGATTTCCCAAATGATGTTGGCTAGTTCTTGTCATCGTTCTAACAAATTCATTTATTGCGTCACTCCGATTGTGATTTTAAAGGCTTCCCCGGGTCTGTTGTTGGTGGCGGAGTTTGGCGTTTATGTTGCTACACAGTAAAGAAGTATGTTGATGAATTCAGGCAGATAGCCGTACAATGCCATGATTTTTGAAAGAGCGATTTGATTTGATATTCCCTGCATTTGTCTTACACTGAAGTTCATGTCTGCTGTCCCTTAGTTATATCTAAAAGATACAGGTTGTCGCACTCTTGAAGCGTGCGAAACCGGTTAGACCCTTTGCTCCTCATCTCAATCGGGGAGCCCAGCGGCTTGTCGGTACCGAGTAGCATATTACAAACGTGTTCACGCCAATGGAAATTTGGAAACGTGAAAACTGTATATATCTATTGCAATATTAGACTTATATTAAAATATCATATGTGATTATTGTTTTGAATAGTATGATATTGTTCACAAAAATTTGACAAAACATGAAAACCAATATGACAGGTCTGAAATTGACAACCAGGGATTTTTAAATGCAATAAAATAAAATAAAAAAAATCCACTTCCACGCTTTGAATCGCCACGATTTACTGAACAATAAACAACAGGTGTTATCATTTGAAATTAACAACTCTTTTAGCACATTCAGTACAAATCACCGAAATCTGTATCCAAGTTTAGCGTGAACAACTCTGTATGCAACTCGGCACCAACATGACGCTGGGCTCCCCGATCGGGATGAGAAGCAGCGATGTCCAAAGGATGATACTTATATCATAAATTGCTATTAAAATGTTATTTAAAAGCCCCTGTAGTATACCAGACTTGCTGTTGTCAAACAGGTTTTCATATTTTTGTGATGAATATCATAATATTCTAAACAAAAATTACATGTAATATTTTAATATTAGTTTAATATTGCAATACACATATCGTCGCTAGCATCACGAAGTGGCCAATCTCTGATTTAACAACTTTTCAGAAGAGCGTTTTGAAGAAAACTCTACTGTTCATTTTGTCTAGCATTAGAACTTGTTTTTTCATATATAACACAAAAGTATACATAGAACATTGAGACATATCTTTTTTGAAATAAAAGATTGGACTTTTTCTGTAAATAAATTATTAAAAAGATAGGCCTGTTCGTAATAACAAAAACGAATGTTTGGCTGGTTGACAAAGCAGATATGCCATTAAAATTGAATAATGGCCACACGGTGTATTATGGAGATATGCCAGTTCGTGACAACATAGATATGGTTCTTTTAAGTATTTTTATGGGAATAACTCATTTTCGCCAAATATTGAGATAGGCCCCTTCGAACTGACAGCGACGATATATGTATAGTTGTCGCGTTTTCATATTACCTGTGATTTCCACTGATTTCAATGGAAAACTAGGAAAGCGCGAGTAATGTGAAAACGCGACAACTGTAAAAAATAAATATATGGAAAAATAATTGTTGATATAATATTTTGGATATCATAAAAAAAGTGCAAAATAAATGTTAATATTTTGTTTTGTAAACTTTGACCTATGTACCTTTTACATATATCTATTCTACTTTGAAATTTGCAAACCAAAATGTACTTAGAAACTGGTGTAGCAAACAACGCCAACGTTAAACTTGCAATATTGCAACTCCAACACTAATCAATTCACTATAAATTATTGATAATGAAATTCTATGTAGTATGAGAATTTGAATATTATTATACTACATACCACCAATTGCACCAACAACTTTCGAGCAAATTCATCCTGTTCTTACGTTGGAAAACGCCCTGTGAACACATACTCGTCACACGGTATCAAATTACGTTTTATGGTTCCTTGTATTTCTACGTCGCGCCGGAGTTTTACGACCAGCGGCAGGCGATGACGGCACGCTCTATTTCCATTGTTCGATGAGGAGTGCAGCAACCTCGGATATTGGCAATGAGCCGGCTGTAGAGAGCGGTGATATTCACACTGTGCCTTGTCGCCTTTTTTAAATATAGTGACGATAGAGGTGTCTCGCAAATCTGTGGGAGTTTCACCATATTTGAGTTTCATTGCTTTATCATTTTTAATCAGGTGACTAATTAAAATAAAAATACCCTCTGGAAGGGTTTAAAACGTCCTATTTTTTTAATAAATAATTTTGAAAAATGCTGTTTTCCATGCCACATATTTAAACGTACTGGAATGGCGCCATCGTATGACGTAGACACCCACAACCGACCAATAAGGATCATTCACAATGGCTCTGGCACATATCTTTGATGCTTTCCTTGTCTTATCTAAGCTCTGAAGACTGACAATGATGTGCTTGTGCTTCTTTGTACTGTCAGCATTTGCTTGAAAACAGACAAAAAGTTTTATCAATGATAAAAATACAGAAGTAAATAATAAAAAAGCAAAAAGATCAGGGAAGCCTGATCTTTATGCATGCCTCTCTCAACACTGAGAGAGGCATGCATAGCGAGTCGAGAAATGCGGCGGTCCGATCTTGCTCTCCCATAAACCCTTGATATATCTTATTGTTTATTGTTACATCTTTGTTAATTTAGAAGCAAAAAATATGTGGTTTGCACTGTTACCTAGACAATACACAAGCGAAACTTTTATAAAGAATTTTTTTTTTCCATTTAAGCCTTCGTTTTTCGTTAAATGAAAGGTATTTTTGAAAAATATTATTTTCAACCAAATTTTTGCTCGCTTGAAACCGAGATATTTACGTTTAAAGTTTTTTTCGGCCATAAGAGCTAATGGTAATTATTTTTTTTGAATGATTATAAAAAAATACTCCCTACAAAGACCTTATTGTGTATTGGACCAATGATAAAGTATTTTTTTCTCTATACGGTGGTATCAATATACCGATTTTTGATGATAGTGCCCTTTTGCACAGTCCAATTTTGTATTACCTCCGGAATAAGAGTTACCTTGCCAAGTACTTTCATCCCTAAAAAATTCAGCTTGTGACACCGAAGTGGGAGGCAAAGTCAAAATAAGTCTTGATCTACACCATACTAAAAGGAAGACAAGATGATATTAGTTGAAACATAATACAAAGATTTTATATTCAACTGATATCACCAATCGGCCATATTATTATTGTAATATTTGGTAAATGGAGTGTTACCTGAAGAATTGAAGAGCTCGATAATTGTACCTGTTTATAAACATGGAGAGACAAAAAATTAGGGAGTAATTAATTATTATAGACCAATAACTTAAACATACCTATTTAGAAAAATATAACTTGCTCGGTGAAAACCAGTTTGGATTCAGGGAAGGCTTTAGCATGAAGAATGCCTTATTCCGTGTAACCGCAAATATTCTAAAAAACCTAGATCAAGGAAAAAAAGTTATAGGAATATTTCTTGAACTACAAAAGGCATTTGACACTGTGGCTTACCAAATATTTACACATTGTTTTAAAATACTGAATGAAAGAAGTGAAAAATTAATGGTTGAGTTTGGTGTGCCGCAGGGTACAGTGCTTTCCCAATTGCTATTTAATGTACAGGGTCTGTTCCTTATAATTAGTGCGGCTTCTACAGCTTTAACAAAAAAAAAGTTAAATACAAAAGTTGTAGGGTTTTGTCTCTAATATCTTTTGCAAATGTCGGAACGGGCAGATGACAGGTGCCAACTATCACAATAACAAACACATGCATTTTTTTTTAATGGAACACCCTGTATATTTTTGGCTAGAATGATTATTTTCTTCTGATTCCAAATATACCATAGGTGTTGATATTTGGTTCAGCTTTTTTTATGCTATTCATGGCTGGTTTATACATTTTTTGTCCTATCACGCTCGAGAAGCGGCAAGTGCGCGGAAATGTCGGTGTAGGTTGGTCTTGAAACGGTTCAGGTTGTAACCTGCAGGGAAAACCGTCGCAGGGAGTTTATTCCACAGCGATGCTGTTCTCCAGAGATATGAATTCTGATATAATGAGGTTCTTGGTGCCTCTAGTTTGACAGTAAATTCATGGTTATCGTCTGTTTGACGGGTTCGCCTGGTAGGCGCTACTTTCGGTGGAATCATACGTGCCAACTCTTCAGAGCATTTTCCGTGATAGTACCTGTAGAAGAGAGATAAATCGCCCACAGATCTGCGATGTTCGAGACCATCCAAGTTACGAGTAAGTGCGGGGTCATTGATCAGTTTGATAGCTCGTTTTTGCACGGTGTTCAAAAGCATTAAGGTATGTTTGGGTGCTGCACTCCATATATGTGAGCAGTACTCCATAACATACATTTGCATAGTCATAATCATAATCATAGTCTTAGTCTTAATCATAATCACAATTTTAGAAGGCGTTTATACAATCTCATAAGCATAAAATAAAATCAACTCTAACCCGACTTTTTGTAGGGAGAGTTTGTTTACTTTTTGCGAATCGAACTCGTGTATTTACTTTTAATACTTTTCAAAGTTTCAAAAAGTGTGGAAATTAAAATTCTGCGAAAGAAAACCATAAAAGTGATAGGTCTGTCCTATTTATTTTTGAGTTTTGCTTCACTCATGGCTGTGGCATTTAATAAACAACTTCAACAAGCGCAAACCTAGGCAAAGAAAGTGGAAATTGAAGCCCATCAATAAAAAAAGGCAGAAGGAAGGGCATTTTGCCACATTATTCAAAGACATGTGCAAGCTTGATGGAAACCAATTTTTTGAATACTCTAGAATGACTCAAGATCAATTTAAATACGCACAGATCTAAAATAGCAGATTTGAATTGTTTTTCTCTGTAACAGCTGATAATGGCGCTTGCGCAGTTTGGATCTCGTCTTAGTCACAATCATAAAAGTTAAAAGTTGCCAACTTTGAGTTATGCTTATGCTTATGCTTATGATTATGATTTGTGTATAGACGGTTCCATAAGAAAATATTATTTTAACTCTTATGAGTAAGACTATGATTATGATTATGACTATGCAAATGTTGTATAAACCGGCCATCAATTTTAAAATTGCATTGAGCAAGCCTCATCATTGATACAAGAAACCTAATGGGAGAGACCTAATTTAGGGTAATGTAAATGCATGTTTAAACTTGAATAGCGGAAAAACAGCCAAACCAAATATCAACATATGGTATACCTATTTGGAATCATAAGAAAAAAATCTATCATTCTAGGCAAAAATACACAGAATGTTTCATTTAAAAAAATGCAAGTGTTTGTCATTATGACAGTTGGCACCTGTCATTTGCCTGTTTTGACATATGCAAAAGATAATAGAGATAAAACCCTACAACTTTTGTATTTAAATTTTTTTTAAATTATTTTTAGTTTAAGTTGTAGAAGCTGCACTAATTATAAGGAACAGACCCTGAACATATTCACAGTATATTATCTGTGATAGATGAAAGCATAGATCTAGAGGACATTATCCCAAAGACATGGTTAAGTATAAGGACCCTGAGAGGCATAGTACTGCTGCCAGCAGTCTGCTGGTAGTATGAGATGGTGGATAGTATAGAATCATCCTAGATTTGAGTGAAGGTGTAGAGAGTGTAGACAAAGAACAGAAGGTGGTGCATCTTGAAAGGCTGAAGGCTTATCACGAGAAGAAATGGTCAGATCTGATCCGAGAGGCATACATATATATAAAACAAGTGATTCTAGGAAAGTCTCGATTAGTTTTTGTATTGAAACCTCGATTAAAACATGTAAAGTGAATTTCGGGAAGTCAATTATTTCAATAAAATTTGTTATTATTGAAGAAAGTTTTAATGGATGATTAGAAAATCACATATTATTCACAAACATGCATCACAGGCAGTAGGAGAAACAATATATCTTACCTTGTATAAAATTCAGAGTGAAAGCACTCTCAAGTCTTGGGTCCTTTATAACACTATCTTACAGCTCAAGTTATCTAAATGTCCACTCTATTGAAAAGTGCTATTTTGTTACATCACACAATATATTTCATTTAACAAATACCCAATATTTTACCGCTAATTTTTCGGTGTTTACAGGAATTAAAAATGCCCATAGAAGAAATAATGGCTCTATATGGGTATCCTTATACCGTCCCCCAACCACCAGTAGGTCTGGAAGAGACAGTATTGATTGATTCTGGAGATGTGGTAAATAAACACTCGACATTAAACCTTCTGTATGATAGCAATATTGAGGATTCTGATCTCCCATGTAAGTTATTTTATCAAATACATTTTTCATAAAGTTGAGAAGTTTTTTCTTGCATGATAAATAAAATCCAGGGATCGACCATTACGGTTTTAATGTTTGTGTCACAACTAAGAAAAACTTAAATTTTGTTACTGTTTTTTTAAATCTCGCACATTTAACACGTTCTCTTCAAATGTTTTATGTGTTTCTTTTTGTTTCAATTGTTTGATCGATATTTTTGAGATGGTGTCTGTATTAACATAAATCATGCATATTAGATTGGATAGTATACACCAATTTGTTTTAGCCTTGTAATTTTGAATAAATTCAGTTAAATTATTTTCTAATATTTATTATTTACTTTCTTTCCAGTCCCTGCTGCCTTGTTCCTACTATATGTACGAACGCCAGGTAGCTCTTAAAAAGCCTTAGTGATGATTATGGATCTGTTAAAACATTATTACAAAATGTTTTGTATAGGGGCTAAATATATCGGCCAAATGACATCAGTATAGGTTGATCCCTGGTAAAAATCAAAATAAAAACATGTTTCATTATTTTTTTTTTTTTTTTGTAGCTGTTAATTTAACCAGTGATGATGAGGAAGAGGGTGACTCAGATGTATTTTTTGTAAGTATCTGCCCTTGGGGTTGACAAATTTCATCATACTACTAATTATTCACTATATTAAAAATACCCTGTATTTAAAGTTTATAAGAATCAGACAAAATTTGGTCATTTTAATAATTCTAGGACGACATATCTGAATACTTTTTAAAGGGCCAAAATGTATAGGATGTTGCGTTGTAAAATGGACATTCTGCATAAAAATTGACATTCTGTTTAGACTACCACAGTGGGACCAAATAACCAAGCAGATATACCAGATTTCAATTGCAATCATGAATTTGAAGATGATGATCAGGACCAATTGTTGTGGAAACCATCGGATTGCTTACTTGATTCAGAAATTGAAGAATACATAGAAAAAGTGTACCATATCTTTAAAGAAAATGAACAAATGCTCAGAGGTAACGAAGAAGGTCCACTCTATCTTCTAAGTACCATGGGTGAGAATGATCTCTGTTTTCCTTGATTTTGTGATTTTCATGCATAACTCCATTTTTTTAGGATACGATATTGACAAGGCCTTGAAAAAAGTGGAAGAAGAGGGTCTAGAGGCACTAAAACATCCGAATTACAACATAAAAGATTGGCCAGAAAATAAGACTCAAATGGAATCTGTTTCGAAAGATTTTCTCAAGGCAACAAAACATTGTTAACTAACTCTTAGGAGAAAGTTATTTATGTTTTTTTTTTTTTTTTGTACTTATCATTACTCGTTCTAAGAAGTTTTTTTTAGTTATAATTTTCTGTTTAATTGTACCTATGATTATTTCTAAAAAAATTATTTTATTTTAAGTTAGTTTAGTCTATCAAACCAAAGAACACCTCTTTCGTTTGGATTCATGGCATGAGATGATTGGTTTTATTAGAATAGCTAAGCTGGACTATAACTATCTTCATCTCTAAAAAAGAAAAACGAAATTTTTTTGAAAGTTATTTTTCTTTGCATTAAAACATGTAAAGTGCCGCCATGGAAAACAGAAAATCGGGTTCTGATGTCCCAATCTGTTTTTTTTTTGTGTAAAAGTCAACTTAAAACCATACACATACTACTGCTGTAGTATACTGTTCAATTGATCTGGTGGGTCAAAGCTGAGTACTGCGGCCGTTACCGTCTTCTGCTAGCCTTTGATCCCCCACAGCCATTGTGGAAAATATGCGTGTTCAAAACTGGCCGATTGCCTAAACCCACCACAGCTTTTCACGTTTCAAATTATAGTAATATGTAATTATAAAACCAAACTCTTATTATGCCAGCTAAGCTTGACTAAGTACTGTTATCTTAGAGAAAAGATTTTGTTAAAAATTATTAAGGTACTTACTTATTTTGAAAAGTGCTTTTGTTTGTTTTTTGCGTAATAATTATAAAACCAAATTCATTTTTGACCAGCTAAGCTTGACCATAACTACCTTCATCTCTAGGAAAGAATACTATTTTTTAAGTTGTTACTTATTTTGAAAAGAGTTTCTATTTGTTTTTCAAGTAATAATTTTAAAACCAAATTCCTTAGACTAGCTAAGCTTGACTATTACTACTTTTTTTTTTTTTTTTTTTTACGGATATGCGCACTCGCAAGGAAATGTCCTATCACGCTCGAGAAGCGGCAAGTGCGCGGAAATGACCTAAGAAGGATTTTCTTCAAATGTTTTAAAATTGTTACTTATTTTGAAAAAAAATTTTGTTTGTTTTTTAGCTAATAATTATAAAACCAACCTCTTACAAAGCTAGGAAAAATTATTCTTTCGCAATAATAATGAAGAGGTGGACGAAACAATCAGTATTTATCGCAGAAGGCCAGAATCGCCTTATAAGTTTAAGTTTTCTATATTTGTATCAATTAGTTGTATTTTTAGTAAGTTATTATGTTTAAAAGCTCTAGCAGCCGTACTGCATTTAATAATAATATGACGTTTTTCTAATTAATTGTTTGTTTACTTATTTCTCTTATTGTTAATGTTCTAAGGAGCGATATTTCTGTTGTCGGTCACATGGGCGAGCAACAAACCCTGATTTTTAAGAGTGAGGTAGCCATTTTTTAGAGCCTAAATAATGATTCTTTTTTTAATTCAAATTCCTTTACTATGCGATTATTTTCATGATATTGCTTTCTCTGCCTAATTAAGTAGGTACTAAATAAAATAAAAAATAATGATAAATCGTAATACAGTTACAAAATTCATAGATAACAAAAAAAAGGTATTGAGGAGCAGTATAGGGCACAACAATGAGAAATCCCTAACAGGGAATAATAAAGTTCGAAGAATTCATGAGTGGAGAAACTATTATGTATCCTGGGACATGAGTAATAGGAGATCTTTCATATAATGTAAAGTAAGCCTTGGAAATGCTAAGAATTATGAAGGACCTCTTGTAAGAGATCCTCAAATTGCGCTTCAGGTTTCGCATTTTGTGCTAGAACAATTTCCTAATGATTTCCTGCATCCAGGGGTACCTAAATTCGTTGGAAGTCAAAGTTTGGTCCTCTAAGCACAATTCTCGTGACTCCGTTGTGCCGCGGTGACACATCTCCACTCCTTCCTACATTGAGAAAATATTATGAATACAGATTATCGCTATCTTTCAATTTGATTTTACCTTATTTACCTCGCCTTATTTGAAACCGATCGGACATAATTGAAATTTTCCAAATCTCCTGGGATCAAAGAGTGGGAGTGTAGGAGAAATAAATAAGAATCTCTATTGGTCGGCAGGCTCAACTTTGGGGTGAAATAAAAAATGTTCAAGACATTTATTTTAGATATCTACAAAATTAGGCGATTTTTTTACAAAACTACCACAGACTTTGGAAACAGGGATATATTGAATATTTTAGAAAGCACTTAGTCAAATGAACAACTCTAGTACAAATCCTCTCTTGGTGAAAGTGCAAAGTGCCGTATAGTTCTAGCTACTTCAACAATCTATAACGTGTATTATGCATTTTTTTAGGAGTCCTGATACCCTCTGCCTTCAAATTGTTAAACATCTCTCAAAAAAAACTGCCCGATGACAAGAAAATTTGAGAATGAAATTTTACCGCGCGAATTAAAACGAGCGGAAGTAAATTATCTAGAAAATTCTTGAGGCGGACTGGCTAAAACTGGGTTGCCCTCAGCAAAGTCAGGCAGGATGTAGGTTAGTGATACATTTAACGCCAGTGTGAAGAAAGAATCAGTTTGTTAAACCCGAATATGTTGATAATCCGATAACTAGGGGCACCCGAGTTGATAGTAGGACAGTAAGACAGACGCGATTTATTAGAGGGATATTGTAATGCCAAGTTCACTTATTGCAACAACCATTGCACAAACAAATGACTGATGCATACTTTCTGAGTGAAGGATTTCATATTTCTTTAATATTTAAGCTTTCAGTCAAAGCCAGCACATTAACACATTTTCTGTGAAATTTTCGCCTTTTTGGATGGGTAGTTCTGCCTATGCTGTTTTATCTGTGCATAAAAAATTTCAATAATATCAGATCAAATCCAAAGGATTCTTCAACATTATAGTAGGCTTTAGTCGAGAGTAACTCTTTTACCTCTTTTGTAAACCTTCCGTATGAACTAACGCTAGTAGAAAAAAAAAGGACTCTTCTTCACCAAGGGACTTGGCAGTGAAATATTATTAGCTTGCCTAGTGAAATAATTCCTTACAGGAGAAAGTTGTTCATAGTATTTCCTATCGTCCAGGCAAACACTTTCGATTATATATATATGTATATAAGCATGGCACAGTGAAAATTCGATGAGAAAGGAAGCTAGGCTTGCAAGATTGTCGGAAGGGAACTCTATATGGAAAAAATAAATATGGAGTTGAAATTATAGTAGTGGTACTGCAATAACAGCCCCAAAATGCAATTCCATAGGTAATGTATGAGTATCCACCAAAAAAATAAAATAAAATGCGGTCCTGAGAGCTGGCAGCTCTAGATGCTCTGATAGTACTGTCAAAGCAAACAAAACAGCTAGAGTGCCACAATATGCACAAACTTAGCACAGGCGGTGGGATGAAAGAAATCACCACATAAGAAGTTATTGGATAATGAGCACTTGAAGTTTAGCATATATTGGTCTTAGATATGTTGAAGGATAGATTGTTGCTGTCGCACCAGGTTTTGATGAAATCTAAATCGATAATAATCATGCGTTCCAAGAATTCTCCACTCTTCCCATGCCGGACAATGGACGTGTCGTCAGCGAAAAGTCTAATACTTGCCCCGACCCTAAGAGAGGCTAGATCATTATTATAGGTCAGAACAAAAGGGGGCCAAGGATAGAGAGCCCTGAGGCACACCACTCATTTTATCCAAAAACCCGTCCCTATACGAAACTACCTGCTGACGAGCACTTAGTACGACTGAAAACAATTTAGAGTCACACCTCTAAAACCATACACTTCAAGCTTACGGAGCAACACAAAATGATCGACACAAAATCAACACCGCTGCTGAAAGGTGATTCTTATTTTTACTCAAATACTTAGATATCTCCAAGAAAGAAGAATTTCGCATCAGATATTCCTTTGCCACACTGTAAGCCAAATTGATTATCGGAGAGGGATCCGTTTAGATTGAGGAATAAAAGCACTCTAATTTGGACCGGTTTCTCAAATCAGCTTACCAAGTGAAGGAAGAAGAGAAATAGATCGGAAATTTGCTGGGAAGTCTGAGCTTCCCCCTTTGTGAAGAGGTAGGTACCTACAACCATTAAGGATGTTGGGAAATATACCCTTGTCAAAGGAATCATTTATTGCATCTCCAAGCGCACGAAAACCCCAAGAGTTTTCAATATTTAATACATTGAAAATCTTCCGTAAATAATTTACTTAACACGTTCACTACCGCCGGCCACTATAGTGGTCATTACGGTTTCCTGTTGTGAACCGCGGCCACTAATCTGGCCATATATTCTTACTCTTTTATTCACTAAAATTTTGAAGCGGATCGTGAATGGTGCGGTTATTAGGTACTTTGGTCCATTCCTAATGTTTCTTGTCCGCGCAGAGCCACTATAGTGGCCTCTGGTTCTTTAGCGTTGCTGTATTTTGTGATACATGCCAGGTGTATTATATTGCGTTTTCTTTTATACTTCCATCGGACCAACCACTCCAAGGTAAAGGACTCAATCCCGTACGATCCAAAGATGGCACAAGATCGCTTAAAGACAGTTCCTTTAATAATTCTCGTTGGAAGGAACACTTTCAGGAACTACTCAACAGAGAATCACAAATTACAGATAATATCTTCAACGGAATTCCACAGAAACCAATACAACAAGAACTGAGCAAGGTTCCTAGATTAGAGGTGGTTGAAAAGGCAATCAGACAACTACAGAACAATAAATCAGCTGGTATGGACGGCATTCCTGCTGAATTAGGTGCCCAAACTCACATACTAATAAGTAAAATATGGGTTACTGAGACTGATACTTTTCTGTAATATATTTCATTGAATCAGATGTATTTTCCTATATTATGTTCAAGGCCATTAGAATGGCCGTTGGTCTATTCTGATGTCAAGCACCACTCACAGACCAGTGGCCAATTTAATGGCCTCAAAACAAAATGGCGGAAATTTATTTAGTAACACCAACTGATCTTATCTGTCTAAAAATCGTTTAAATATTCCTAATACTTTTAAAGATATTATACTTGGTCCATAACAAGTGACAGCCCTTCAACGCTCGGTAGTGAACGTGTTAAATCAATTCTAATACAACGTTTCTCAATTAATGACAAGCACTTAATTTTGATAAAACCAGAATCTTCAAAAAAATATTTTCTATAATGGGGGAGCCCTAGGCTTGATAAATCTAGCAGTCGCATTTTCAGGTGCTAATCAGGGCACTGTTTTCTGTGAAAACTAGGATAGAAATTGTTTTTCGACATTTGTAATAGCAATTTTCTCGAAAAGTGTTGAAGTTGGGTATAAGATATTATACCCAGACGGCACCCAATATTGCTGGTATATGCCTACAATCTGCCAATTTTCGCAGGCATATTGCAATATTCCAGAAATATCTCCAGCCTATTTGTCATATTCTGTATTAATTTAGCATATTCCAGACATGTAGTTATAGGATATGCCGTGAATATCATGTATGCATATTCCTTGCGAAAGGGAGAGCCAACCACAGCACATCACCAGCGTCACGTGATGGCACTAATGATTGGTTCTGTTCTGTGACTCGGACCTTGGCTGAACGGTGGCGCAATTTTTTTCTTATTTGGCTGCCGGACGAGTGCCGTCTGGTCTCTGCAGTGCTAGTGGCTATGTTGGTTTTTGTGATTTTTATTCGGAAGTTGATTAAATACATAATTTTGAGGAGCATTCCGAAATCGGTTTGTTTCAGTGACTTAAAGCGGCCTAAATATCCATGTCCTTATTTTGAATTAGGCATGTGAATTTCTATAGAAATCAAATACTTCTAGTTCACCAGTAATTAGCGCATTTCCGGGCGTAAATCTGGAAATGACCCATTTTGATGGAAATTGAAAGATAATTTAAAATAGGAATAGGGACATGTAAGCTGTGTAACGGAATAAAAAAGTTTTAATATGTGAATTCACGCTATAGGATAGGACACCCATCATTTTGACAAATTTAAAGGTTCTTTTTAGGTATGGATGGGTCTGGAACAACGGGTCGAGGGGTCAATTTTGAGGGAGTACACCAGGGAGGTTTTTCTGTGAATATCTAATTAATATATGCATGCATCATCAGATATTCTTTAGGAATATTGGATATTCAGTAAATATTCCAATATCCAATTGTCATATATGTGGCAGATTGCAGGGATATATTTCATGGTGACCTAAGCATATACGCGTGGGATATCCCTGACATATGAATAGATCTGCATGGCATATGAATGGGATATTTCAATCTTCCCATGAAATATGCCTTGAATATTCCTGCAATATATTTGTGCCATCTGGGTACATAAAATATGCTTGGAATTTGTCGTAGAATCCAAAAATGTAATATTAAAGGGAGTGATCCATTTGAAATAAAGAAGTTGATAGCACTTCCGGTTAAATCGGAAGCGAGAGTCAATGGTTTTTATGTGTTGAAAATTTGCATCGGTAGGTACCGGGTAATTGTCTATATTTTGAACCCACACCTATCTCACCTGTTTGAAGAGATACCCAGAAATGTCAAGTATGAAAGTTGTAGGTAATATCAGAAAGTTTTCAATGATGTTAGTTACAAGTATAGAGGGTGAGTCAAAAAAGTGCGGTGAAGCAAAGTTATACTTTTGTAAATGGAAAACCCCGTTTATTATTGTCCCATTGGATTAGCCTTTTAAAGCTGATTCCAAATATACTAGGTTTTTTAGGTTTATTTCTAATAGTCCAGGAGAAAATAGGACAAAAAGGGGTGGAATGATTGCATTTTTATTGAAAAAGGAAAGTATTAGAGACCACTATCAAAATATAAAGGTAATCATCCATGTAAAATATCCATATTATTTCTTCAAAATGGGATATTCAAGGGCTGGACTATGAGGAATAATCCTAAAAAACCTAGTATATTTGGAATCAGGTTTAAAAGGCTAATCCAATGGGATAATAATATACGGGGTTTACAAAAATATAACTTTGTTCCGCCACATTTTTGTGATACACCCTGTATACTTGTAACTAACATCATTGAAAACTTTCTGATATTACCTACAACCCTCACATTTGACATTTCTGATGGGTATCTCTTCAAACAGGTGAGATAGGGGTGGGTGCAGAATATAGACAAACACTCGGTACCTATCAATAATATACATCCCCAAAATTAAAAATTGATAGATATCATTTTCCATGTTTAAGATAGAGCTTGGTAAGTAAATTCGGTACCTATATGAATCAACAAATCCTTACTGGAAAAATGCGATTGCTATTTATTAAACCTAGCGGTGCCCCATTCTAGAAAATATTTTTTCGGAAGATCCTGTCTTATCAAAATTAAGTGATTCTGATTAAATGAGAAACGTTGTACATATTAGAATTGATTTAAATTGCCTACCTGCATACATTTATGGAATACATATTTTCAATGTATTAAATACTGAACATGCATATACCAGTTCTAATGATGTAATGAAAATTGCTGCTATGAGAACATGCTGCCTATAATACACATCCTCACTGGACGTGGAAATCCGTTTTTTTTTCACAACGATGCCAAAATAATTATTTAAGCAATCGATTTCCAACCATCTCTATCCCTCTCTATTTTGGTCTTGGGATTTTAAGCGTTTTGTGGTTTTTTGAGCGTTTTGTGGTTTTTTGAGCTGCTGGGCAGAGTATTCAACAAAAAGCATAAATGAATTAATCTCAAAGTTCCGAGAAAAGGGTTCAACACAAAACCAAATGGGAAATATTGAGAGTTCCATTGAAAATGCTTTAAGCCATATTCTGACGGAGTCTATTCCGGGAGGTACAGACCCATTAAAATCCCTAAAACTTAATGTGTAGGCTGGAACATGTGGATTATTACGGATTGTTGGAACTTTATTTTTACGTGGGAACTTGAAATGTTTTTCCATTGTTATAAACAGTAGATATTTGGATTTATCTTGATTAACATTCGTTTCAAAAACAGTAAATTTCGTTTAATTTATATTATTTTCAATAAAATATAATTTTCATACTATATTTATTATAAATTATTAAAACTAAATAGGTACATAATTTTCAAATATTGTCAAATTATATTTGTGAAAATTTATATTTTATAATTATTTTTACTTATTATTTTGGCTAGTAGTAGATAATATGTTCCCTCAATAAAAGTTGATTAAAATTAATGTTATGATTAAATCGTATTTTTAACGGTGGGTAATTGGCGTTTTAGACAATACTGTATGTTAACAGCAAATCATTTCATTGAGAACCCCTCACGTACATCAAAAAACCAATATATTCAGAATAAATATTCTGGTTTTAAAGCTAAACTTGACCTCCTGACCTGTTTTATAGCCATCATGATTCCTTCTAAGTAGAGGAACAAAATTACGGAAGGAAGCTGAATAAAGATCTCTATATGCTAGATTCAAATAAAGTGACTCAAGGCCTATATCTCATAGCAAATTCAGGGGCCATTTTTACGCATTTAAAGCATTTGAGGGCGTAATAACATAATGGCCCATAATCACTAGAAGCTATTGCGACCTGAGTAGTTTAAAGTAAGTCTTTCAATTGAAAGCTGTAAAAATATTGGCGAATCGACTGTTGTTTCTTATTGCCATCTACTAAATTGTAATTCATTTTCCAATAATAGTGCCGGTGTATATCCTTGTTTTATTAGCTAAATGTGTCGTGTCTGTTCTTAAATGCATAATCACGTCGTAAGTGCCTGTTCAACATGATTCCTACTACAGTAAGTTTTCCAAATATACAATACGGATGGATACGAGGTAAGCCAAATGACTAGGTACCAATTTATTCACATTTTTTTAAAAAGAATACTCATATTCGATAAGAGAGCATTAATAGGTAATAATTTGAGTCGAATAAAAAATTGCAGTAATTTTATAATCACTTGAAATGATGTCACTGCCGTTTTAGCTGTGGTGTAACGATATAGTACCTAATAGAAATCACGTGCTTCAAATATTCGCAGTATTGGACCTGCTGTGTCTATTGTCAAAATAAATTAGGTACCTACTTGAATTACACAAATGCAATTGAGCAAAAATCATACATACCTACCTATATATTTAAGCAAATGTGGGAATATAGGTAACCAGTTACATTCTATATTTCGATTTATAACCTATTGGATTTATTCTAGAATATTTATCTAATAAATCAATTTGATGACAATATTCCATTGGTTGCCGATAACAGGGGCAAGCCACATTCGAAAATCCGCCCAAAAATTCATAGGTTCCACTGTTATAACGCTTGTTGAGTAAATTCTTGTTTTTCTGTTTACAATTATCATGATTTGCAATGTGTATTGTTCAGTTCACATAACTTAATAAGATAACATTTAGTGACAGTTGCCATCGAACCGCATAGCTACGAACCTATCAACGAGCCTACGGTCATGATAGAAGAAGAGAACCTCGGCCAACTATAACCGCAAAAATTTATTATTGAACACCAGTTATGTTCTACCGACCAGGACCCTTATTCTTGAAACAGGGGAGCAGCGTTCCCAGGAAAACGAGTGCTCCTCAATGATACGCAATTCATAATATAAGTAACAAAGATGGAGCACTCGTTCTCCTGGGAACGCTGCTCCCTTGTTTCAAGAAAAAGGACCCAGAGGTCTTGCATGGAAACAAAATACAATAAGATTTTGGGGGTTTGGTATGGAAAAATACAAACATTCTATGTTGGACGTTGAACATTGTGGACGTCCTTTCTTTAGAGGACTTGGTTCATTAGATCTTCCTATAATCTTCAAAATCCAGGAAAGTTTTCTTTTTTAAGCGAAGAAAACAGTAGATTGTCATAACATGATCCAGAAATCCGTTTTTTGGGTATCATATCATAATATGTACTTTTTTTTATAAAAAAAGTACAACAAAATTGGAGATTTTCCTAAAATATTATTATTATTGATAAGTATATCTGCTTTCTTGAAAATTAATTACTTTTTCCATTGAAGTGGCAACCAACATCCATTCAAATACCTTGTCCAAGCGGCTACACCTCACCGCGCCCAAACACCTTGTTTCCATTTATTCTTGTTGTTGCCTCCTAGTTCCCCATAGTCCCCTCCCCACCGCTTAAAAAAAGGAAAACAGTAACACTTACCTGCATGGGGTAGGCCCAGGGTATAACCGTCCGTCTCTGGAAGGAGTCTAAAAGGTTGGTAATCCTCACCAGGAGCCTACAGAGGTCACCAGCTAAGTAAATTGGCGTAAGAACCTCTGCAATAAGGAAGCGTCTGATACCATGTTAGGGACGGCTGATCTGTCCCAGAGTCCTAGAGGCCCGTAGATCTTCAACAGCTCTGGGATCTCTAGGCATCGTAGTTTAGGGGTTGGGCTTAGATTGTAGAGCTGTCAACCACCGTGTTATTCTTGTGCAGCACTTAAAAAAGGCGCCCTAAACGTAGTCAGTCTAAGCACAACCTGACTGTGTTATCGTGTCGAGAAGGTACGCCACATGCGGTCGAAATACAGAAAGCACTCAAAAATTAAACATAGCTACCTGGAATATATATATGTCCGCTCGCTCATGGACACCAAGCACAGTATCAGACCACAAAGGAGAATGGCGATTGTGATATGTGAGCTAAAGAGATATAATATCGATATCGCTGCAGTAACTCAAAACAAGACGTGCGGGTGATGGCCAGCTCCCAGAGGCTAAACCTTTTCCAAGGAAAGGACAAAAATGAGCCCTGAATTGACGGGGTCGGCTTTGCAATGAGGTACTAACTCCATCTTGATAAGCTTCATTTTGGGATAAGGGAAAGACTCCTGACAATCAGTGCCTACGAGCCAGCTTTAGATTCCGACGATGACAGAAAAGAAGAGTTCTATAACCACCTTGATAGAAGCTTAACACACATTTCTCAATCAGACAATGTTATCTTGTTAGGTGACTTCATTGCCCGAGTGCACAGGGACTCCGTCCTCAGGAATGGCACCATTGGCAAGGATGATATAGGCAAAAGTAACTCAAAACACACGTTATGTAGTATATACTACTTTGAAGTAATTTCTGAAAATAGCGTCATATTTTCTGACAAAATAGAGGACGCCATTAAATTTATTCCAATTTCCTTTTATAGTAGTCTGAACTCATATAATTAGTAGAAATGATGAAAAAATATATTTCAACACATTTCACCAATTTTATGCAATTTTATCACTGCCTTTCCGGACATAAAAAGTGTGGAAACATATATTTTGACAGGCAGCGTTGTTTTTATGGATCTATCAACATCACATTTCACAGAATTTTTTTAATCGCGAATACGCCCTAGCGAAATAGGTGGGATAAAAAAATCCTATAGAGAAGCGGTGAATACGTCGCTACGTCCTTGCCACGTAGTTGGAACGTAAGTGCGACGTAGAGGTATAAGGTCCAGGGTAGTAATTTTTACGTAGCTATCACTTTCAAAATGTTCCTAATTTTTTTTTCAGGGTGGGGATTGGAACTAATTCGCTAGAATCTTTGCATGAAATATGTGAACAAAATGCAAAGAAGTTTGAAATTTTTTGCAGGCTTTCCAGTCAAAAAAAAAATAATCTCCCCCTTTTAAAGAGAGACACATTTTATAGTCTATCTACTTTTTTTCAATTAAAAATTTACTATTACACCAAAATGAAAAATAAATTGCACAGCTGATTTTCTTGCGAAACTGGCTTTCCAAAAAGGTGCCACAAGTCAGTGTCAATGTCAGTCAATGCAGAAATCGATAGGGCAACGTAGTAACACATTCATAGGACCGAGGGTGTTCAATTACCTGCCTGAAAACATAGAAAAAACAAAGAACAATGAAACATTTCAGAGTTTCTGTTAGAAGCTGGATGCTGAGCTGTCCAAGGTGTCACATACATAATCTTATAGACTTCAAAAACCAGTAATAACTTGCTCATGTTTTCAGTTACTCAATTTGTCTTTCTATTTTTGCTTTAGATTTAGTTGATTTTCTTTTTGATTTGTTTTAATTTTTAGATTTATATCTTTGAAACGTCTATATTATTAGTGCCTCTGCTTCAATTACATAAGTTATTGCTTTTGTTGAACACTGCTTGCCTTGCCATCTAAGAATTAAGGGGCTCATTTTCTGTTTAAGAGCCCTCTATATGGCATGATCTTTTGCGTCGCGTGGATGAATAGAGCCACAGACAAGTTCATCTTTCGTGGTATTTTGTTTATTCTGTGCGATGGCGAAGGTTTCTATGCCAAGATATTTGTAATATATTTGTGCACACAAATAAACCAAGTAATTTCTATTATTATTATTCTATTCTCTATATTTGTAGGAGCTGTATTTTATCTTGTTCAAGAAAACCTACCGGACGTTGAATTCTCTTATAGAACTGATGCTCCGAGCGTAGAACAAGGTATCCACAACAACAATGAGTAACAGATAGCATGATGGCGCCTCCAGGATCAAAATATTCCGGAGGTAAAATACCCGACCACTCGGATCTCCGGGCGTCGGGTGATCCTGGGGGTCCTTCATGCAAAGATATAAAGAGAAGATCAAAAACTCAACTCAGAATTGATTTTAGCAATATAAGAGGAATAAGTACAAATATGAATTCAGTTCACCAACATCTTGAAGAACAAAGACCTGACATCCTTGTTCTCACTGAAACTAAAATCAGTTCTGCAACACCTATTGTGAACTATCTTTATCCCGGCTATGACCTACACCACCGATTTCGACATAATTTTGGGATCTGTGTGTACATTAAAAATGACCTTTCATGTCATCGAGAGGAGAAGCTAGAACCAGCGAACCTTGATATCATATGGCTAAAATTCACCCCAAAGTCATCGACCAAGTTTATCTGCTGCCTCTACCGACCGCCAAGTAACACCGATTACCAAAACTTTTTCGCGACATTATCCGAAAGCTGTGATAGTATACAGTCAAACTATCCACAGGCGGAAATTGTCTTTTTAGGCGATTTCAACGTCCACAATATACCCTGGCTGAAACACCACAACAAAACAGATAACGAAGGCAGAGAAGCAGAAGCTTTTGCCATAAGTTGTGGTCTAACGCAGCTTGTCGATGAACCTACCCGTATCTCAGAAAGGGGCGAATTTGCAGCGCTTTTAGACTTGTTCCTAACCACCAATCCTGACTCGTACACAATTCAAGTAGATGCTCCACTTGGTTCGTCCGATCATAAACTTATAATAACAAAGTGCGAAATACTCATCCCACCAAGCCTACAACCACTTCCTCGTAAAATGTGGCACTATAAATCGGCAAAATGGAATGACCTAAAACAGTATTACCTGGATTTTCCATGGCAAGAGGTTTGCTTTAAAGCAGCTGATCCCACTATTTGCTGTAATGAAATAACACAAGTAATCTTATCTGGAATGGACGCATATATCCCACATACAACTAAACGTAGAGCTAATGCAAAACCTTGGTTCAACAGCCAGTGTCAAACGGCTGTACAGAAAAAACACAGAGCATATAACCTTTGGAAACGACAACAAACCGCTCAAAACCACACAGAATTTATAGAAGCCAGAAATAGTTGCAAAATTACTATTGACTCCGCTAAAGAAACATACAATCAAAGAATAAAAAACAGGTTGCTGAATTGTCCAAGTAGTTCTAGGTCTTTTTGGTCTCTTGCAAAAGCTGTTGGATCTAACTTCACCAAGTCATCCATACCACCACTCACAGATAAAAGTAATCACTTAGCCACAACATCAGAGGAAAAAGCCAATATGCTTGCCCAAATGTTTTCCTCCA